AATCTTGCGTTAAGAAAAACTACAATTTCAATCACCATAGCAACCGTTGCTATGCAAATTTAAATTTCCTATTTTATTCATGAAATTTAAGTATACAGGAAGATTAAAGTTTATTAAATTCTTTATTTTCATAGGTTTTATGAATATGTTTAACATCTGAATTATCTCTTATTATCGTAGAATAGGATTATGTCAAAAAATGCTGAAACTTTAATATAATTGCATAGCAACACTCTTTTTATCGTCCATAGCAATGAAGCAAAATCAGCAGAATTGCACATACATTTGTCATTGACCAAGCAAAAATCATGAGATGCAATATATTTATATAATAAACATCTCTTATTGAACAAAGTTAACACATTGATGTATAAAATACAAGGTCATCACCATAGCAACTGTTGCTATGCAAATTTTAATTTCTTTTTTTTTCCATAAAATAATTATATAATGAAGACCTAAAGTATAGTAATAAATTAGTATAGGATTTATGAAAAAATGTTTATTAAATATCCTAAGATAACACAATTTAGTAGGAAAGCAAGGTCATCACCATAGCAACTGTTGCTAATTGAAATATCCTATTTTTTTTGTAAATTATTAAAATGAAAATCTGAAATTTATTAATATAATTTTATTAATTAATTTGATCAACATATCTTCCCATTTTTCTTTCATTTTGCATCAAGCCATCCGTTTTTAATTTATATGAAGCATTGTTCAATGGTTTTCTTTCTTGACTTAAAATATCTTCATACATTCTGATAACATACTGTATATTTTATAATAATATACAGTAATTTAATTTTTAATGTTCTCCTGTTTAATGTTTTTTTAATTGCTCTGTAAAATTTTAACGTAAATATTACTGTAATTTGTAAACACGACGTTATTTGTGTAGGCATAGGAGGCCTACTGTATTTCCATAGATAATTCATAGCATACTGTATCATGTGTATTCATAGAACATGTTCTAGGCCTATTTAATTAATTGCATATTGTTAATATTTCTCAATACTGCACGTCGTGTAGATATAATTATAGCTATCATTGTTATTCCTTGTACATAGGGTTTCCTGCACTTTATTTATTCATGGAGGAATAAGCAACTTAATTGCATTTTGAACAATATATCATTTTTGCAGTAGACCTACATTTGTCTATTCCCATGATTTAAAATGATCTTACGAATTGTAATTTGGTCAATGCTACCACATTCTGTGTCCAGATATAGAATTTTTAACCTGGATGCTTTTTTCTGTGCCCACTCTTTAGCATCATGTACAGGGCATAGGCCTTTATTATCTCTATTTTTTCTTGAGTCATACCAGTAAGAATATGACGCCCTTTAAAAAAATCTTCCTATTAGTATTATATATGGGAGAGTACCTCATGAACATTATTCACACACCCTTGAGCCTGCTATGGCGATATATTCATGCCACGAAACTTAAAATATGGAACATAGTGTACGCTGGGAGCAAATATTTCAATATAGATAAATTTAATAAATGACGATGTACAGTATATATTGTACTACATATTTTCATAACAATAACTTAGTTATATTTAGATGCCTTAAGTTTCAAAATTTGCTCACCTTGGCCCAAAACATATTGGGCAGAGGTGGGTATAGATCTAGTCTCCACTAACTTTAAATCATTGTCTGCCAATAGACAGGATGAGGAGGGGTGGCGGCTATACAGGTTTGCCACCTTGTATTTCCAGGCATCCTGAGGTACCATATTTCCAACATGGAATCTATCTCCGTGCTCATTTTATTTCTTTGAGGGGAGGGGCTAGCGGCTCTACAAATTGTCAGCATTTATTTCCGGGCATTCAGAGTTGCAAAAAAGTTGTTCAACAACCACGATGACACTGATAGTGGATGCTCAGCACCCTACTGCCCATACAGCTACTTGCTGAGATATTTAGTAGAAATAAAATCAGTGTGCAACAGCGTCCCAATGATGCAGACCTTTATTGTGCTCTAGCTGAGACCAGAAAAAATCCTTTGTTGAAGTCAGGGCTGAGAAAAGAGGTTTCTTTGTTAAATTGTTCATTTCTGATGCACCTGAGCAGCAGGCATGGAGTATTTTATCGTCAGTGTTTGGTATTGATTCAGCACACCATTCTCCGCCACCCCCACAGCAAAATCCATTATTTTTGCCAATGCCCTCGTATGCCCACAACTTCAATTGGTTACCCTGGTTATTTCACGAGCATTTGGGTTGTATTACATTGAAAGGTGTTACGTAGATAGTTTTATAGACAAGCTATTGGAAGCAATTTGTTCATAGATGGGTTAAAACATGGGAATAATTAATTTTACCATACAGTATTTCATATAACATGCACAGGTTTTGTATGTGATATATCATACAAGATGTATATCCCAGATAAAATTCATAAGATAATGTACTACAAATAACCTACGTCCAGTATGTTCACACTGGCATTATTATCTTATCACTTGTATAAGGACGAATTCTAATACCACACAACGGCGGCGGAACGTTTTTGAAGGGGGGGGGGCATTTCACAAGGTCCAAATATACGAGCGAAGTGAGCATCTAGGCAGGGGGCCGTCTAGAGCCCCGGTGGGGGTCTACGGATATTTTACCAATTTTTATTTTACGTTTGGTGAATTTTATAAATCATTTTATAGGCATCAAGCTACTGTAATATGACATTTGTTGTAATTTCCAGTGGCGGATCCAGGAATTCGAAATAGAAGGGTCCAGGGAGGGTACTTTCACAGATAGAAGATCTATACTACCTCAGCCCCACCATGGTTGGGCTGAGGTGAGAAAATTTGTGATTATGTCACCTCTAGATGGCGGGAAATTTCACTCTTAAACTTAAATTTGAATATAATTTTCCTTATATCTCCATTTAAAAAAAATTAAAAAATTTATCCCCCACCCTTGAATGCGTCACAGATTTCAGAACAAAGTCGAAGTCGAGATTGCTTCCACTATCTCAATGAATTATTTATCCTAAGGTTTATCCTTGATATGGGTTCCCCGACTACAACTTCACTTTTCCTCCGACGGATAAAATTTACCCCTCTATGTAACCCGGAAATGATACTCCAACTGTGGCGGGTGGAAGTTGAAATAGAGGGGACCCAGGCAGGGTTTTGCGCAAATAAAATGTCCACCCACCTCATCCGCACAACTTTTGGGGCTGAGGTAAGAAAAATTATGATTATGGCACCTCCAGATGGCCGGAAATTGCACTCTCAGATTAAAAGTTGAATACAATTTTGTCTGTTTTCTCCATTTTTTTTTTTATAATTTTGAAAAAATTAGGAGGTTGAGGGCCCGTGTTGACAATATAACACTTAAAATAGCCTATCATTTTGTATCACAAATTCGTAATGTCAAGCAAAAGATATTTTTATTCGAAAGATTTTTTTTACTCAATACAGTTGTTACAACCTATAACACATTAACTACAGCGTAAATTCTGTAATTAACCGTCAGAGAACTTTATTTTTAAAAATGGCCTAATTAATTATCTTATTGTTTTCGTTAAATTAGATGGAGTTTAATTGTGGTTGTATTTCGCTAGTTTGAAGGTTTACTGTAAGCCAATCAGTTACACTTACTATACATCTTCGTGGTTAGCATAAAGAGAACTAGAGCGTCGCTCCATTAAGAGTGCCTACCTTCCCCTTTATGCCTAAGTACTGAATTTACGAAGGCAGGCGTGAGGGTGGGATTCTTCATGCTTGAGGGTGGGATTCAAGGAAACTTTACAGACGCGCATATACAGACATCAATCAACATTTGGTTGCTCAACTCAAAAAGGGAACTTGTAATGCTCGTTAGAAAATGAAAATAAAATTATTTTATAATGATAATAATGATAATAACAAATAAACAAGTTGTCTAACGTACGCACCAAATAATAATAATAATAATGTCCGCCGCCGTTGATACCACATATAGGC